GGCTGTCTGTCGTGGCACTCAGTGCAGAGGGCTTGGATACTAGAGGATTGCAGAAAGATCACACACCTCTCAAACTCCATCTAAAAAGTTTCCCTGAGCAGGAAGGCTGCAGTGAGACAGATCAAGCTTATTGACACTGGCACTGGAAACCTTTTCTGCTCTTGGAAAGGACCTTGGATGTCCCTGTGAACATCTACACCCCACCAGGATTATCTGCATCCCATTCACCCACTGGCATATTGCACATTTAATTCCCTTACTCACAGGGGTCCTGGAGGTTGGAGACCATCTGAGGTCTGAAGGTTCAAAGGTATGCCAGAGTTGCTGTGACCCCTCATGGGAGGAAAAATCATGACTACTTCAAGCACAGAGAGAGGGGAAATGTGCCCACTGCGATGCATGCACCGGGGCCAGACCCACTGGGGAGAGGTCCCATGCTCCCCTGAGAGCTGTGATCCCACCATCCCAGAGCTCACAAACCTCCCCAGAGAGAGGACACTTGGAAAAACTTCATCTTACCTGTATGCTGGTCTGGTGAATTTTTTCTCTTCGTCAGAACTACAGGTAGGATAATCATCCCCATCATAATTAAAGCAGTTATAGGGGTACTGCGTGTTGTCAAACATCGTCCTGCTCCTTGCTCAGCTCCTGTGGAGTGAGAGAGGGATAGAGTGATGTTTCTCAGAGCTTGGACTCCCTCCTCCCTTCTTCCCTCCCCTCTGTCTGTCTCATTCCCTCTCTCCCCCCTCCTCACGCTCCCTGCACACACACTCTCTCCGTGATGGGGTGGGGATTGTTTTTGCAATTCCCACATCGCAGACAGCCTGTCTGTTAGGATAATTATTTTTTTTTTGGGGGGGAGGTTGTTATTGTTATTCTTGCTGTTGCCCCCAACAGGGTGGCACAGCCAGGCAGCTGCTGGAGAATTGGGGGTGAACCTTTGAACCAGGCTGTGCAGTGGTGGTAGCTGCACTGAGCTCACTGGGTGGTCCAGGCTGGAGAGGGTCCAGCTCTCCCCCTCCCATCACAGCCCCAACGTGACAAAAGCAAACAGCATGATGTTAATAAATCATGCTTCAAGGTCTCTACTTGGAAATGAAACTTGGAGTGCAGCTCCCCCCAGTCCCTGAGTCCTCCCCCTCTGGATTTTTCTCTCCCTGGTGAAGCTGTGTGGCTTATTTATTTATAGTTCAAAACCCCACGTAGAATAAACAGAGGTTCCAGGCAGGAATACACTCTTGTCCTGATCTGCAATCTATAATACAGTATAATAGACATAAATTATATTTCCATGACTAAAGGAAAAGCTGTATGTTCAAAGAAAGTAGAACAGAGGCATATGAGGGACTACTGTCAAGCAGGAAAGTAAAAGGAAAATAGCTGTAGGCAGGAGAGCTGCCTGTGTGGGCTTTGATCTGAAGGATGAATTAGACTAATAGCCCTGTGTGTTGGCATCCAATACTGTAACAATTTAATAGTTTTTCAATGCTTTGGAGTGTTTTCCAACAAGTGATGTAAAGCAAAGGCATCATACACTGGTTCAGGGGGGACTTAAAAGGTGTATGCTACACGATAATTAAATTATTTGAAGACAGCTCTGTCCCAGGAACTAGCCCCAGGAGGAAATAGGGATTGGAAAAGAGAAAGTAAATTGGTGTGCAGAGTGACTCCCTGGATGGAAATGGAAAATCAGAACTACTAGCAACGAGACTTTTGTTTTCTAGAGCATCTCTCATGCAAAGGATGTCCCCAAACCCCATTTGGGTTTATGTCCGCAAGTCCCTTTTGGGTTTATGTCCCTCAACTCCCTTTTGGAGTTAAAGGATAAAATGAGGGGAAAATAAAGAGCCCTTTACAGTGATGTTTAAATGATTCCTAGAGTTCTGACAAAGCTGGACATAATGTTTTTCTCCTGTGGAATATAGCACATTATAGCAGGGCATAGGGGGAAATACATGGCATGAAAAGATATATACAAGAGGTGTTTTCTTGGCAATATGAAGCCAGAGCAGATACCCAAAATAAAAATAATCTTCACTCTAAAATACATCAATAGGCATATGCATGAGGCACCCACTGCAGAGGAGGTGTTAATTCAAAGGGTCAGCTCCTTCTGCCTAGGGCATTAGCAGGGCTTTAATATTGAGTGAGATAGAGCAGATTTGGTGGTGGAGAATGAAATATATAATGTCTGCTCATGCTCATTCATGCTCTGTCCAGATGGACTAGAAGGTTTAAAGTAGAGAAGTAGCTGGGCCACAGATTTGGGAAGATTCTAGCTCCCTACAAACAGTGATCCTTGAGACACAGGTAAGTGTCCACTTTGATTTTTAGCAGTGCTTCTTCTCATTGGAGGTGTTTTTACTCACTGAAATTCCCTAACTCAGTCTTGCTTCTGATTTATAACAATTTCCAAAAGCACAACTGTGTTGGTTAACTCTGATTTTACCTAACTTGTTAGCACCCTTTCTTCATATCTCTTTCTGACAATTGCCTTGCTAAGAAAGTCAGACAATACTCTTTGGCCAAAATCCTCATAAATTGACTGACAGTACTTAATAGGTTTTATTCAATGGGAATTAGAGCAAATGACTGTAGTCTTATATATTTAGCAATGTTATTTACCTCCAGCCCTGCATTTTCTTGTTGTGCTGAGTGCAATTCACTTGCCCATGTCTAGCACATCTACCAGGTGCATTACAGCTGGTGGTTAGTCCTACTCTGTGGGAAATAGCTCATGGCCAATGTGTTCTTCAGCCATTTCAGTGGAAAACAGATTAAACTTCCATCTCAGCAGTTGGTTTGTGAGACTACATTGAGCAAAAGGAGGTGAATCATAACAACCAGTGTTGATGTCCTTGAGCAGCACCTCAGGAGTGAGTGGAACCATGGGTGGGTGCAGGGGCAGCTTGGCAAGACACATAGGAAACTCCTGTTGTTGCTGTTTGTGTCACACATCATCTGTGGATATATATTATTCCTTCCTGCTAGCCAGCAGTGGGCTGAAGGATTTAGTTTCTGGCTCATCTAATATCACTACAATCACCTACTGCAAATTCAGATAGACCCTAAGAAGAACACAGATGTGGAGGAATGGCTATGCGAAAAGGGACATGATCTTCTTGAAGCTGACAAGCTGGTAGTGTGGTGTGAGGCCTACAGCAGCTGTGACTTAGCCTTGAACTGCTGATAAGGAGCGAGCTCTGCCTGGCAGAGCTGGCTCTGACCGGCTCTGAGTCCGGTGTCAACAAGCTCCCTGGTATTCCTGAAAACATCCTGGAATGTGGACAGACACCTGCTTGCTCCAATCATAAGTTTAACCTGGACACTGGGACAAGGGCAATAAACCAATCATGTATCCGCTGCGTTCGCGTACTCTGTGTGAATGTCTATATATATCTTGTAAGTACTAAGAATAAAGGAGAACGACCATACTCATATTGAGACTCATCGTTACTCCAGGTCCGGATCCCACTCCAACACACAGACCATTTCTAAGTCCTAGAAAATCAGAAACAAATGATCCATGATCCCTCATAAAGCTAATTCTCAAATCCAGAGATGCAAAACTAGGGGAATATTTCTCCAGGTAATTTTTAAAGCCTACATGCTGATATTTTATCCTCAAATGAATGTTTATGGTCCAATTATAATCCTTGAAGATAATACTCATAAAGAAAGACTAACATGCTCTTGTGTGTAGCATGGTGGGTGAGCAGGTGCCATTCTTATGGTGGCAAAACATGTTGTACACTTGCTTTTTCCTAGCATCTGTGCAGCCATTACAATTTAACTAGAGTAACCATAACTCATCCCTGTCAGTATCATAAAAACATAATTTTGCCAGGCTAGTGTTTTCTTATGCTGTATATTTTCTGAGCACAAAGTTGTAAACCATTTGATTTGAGATAGTAAATAGGCAGTAAAAATGCCATGAAAGGGTTTGACTAATTTTTTAAACATTGATATTAAAAAGTTATTTGCAATTTTGGTAATGATGACAGAGATTATGGAAGTTGGGCATGAAATTCAGACTAGTCATAAATCCAAACAGGGCTGAATTACTACTCTATTATGGGATAATAGAATAGCAGTAGGCACCTCAGTGTAGGATTGACTCAGTGCTGATGTTCTAGTCTTCTTACTGGTGTAGACTGGCATCTCCCAGCAATATAATTCCTCCTGTGCTCTCACACAATCAGTTAGGTTGGAAAGGACCACAGTGGGTCATCTGGTCTCACCTCCCTGCTCAGCACATGGCTCAGGGTTGTGTCCAGACAGTTCTTGAATACCTTCAGTGAGGGAGAAGACTTGGAAGGCAGAGCTGGTTGCAGTTTAGCACTTTATCCCAAACCTTTTAAATTCATCATAGAGTCATAGAATTATTTGCATTGGAAGGGACATTTTAAAGATCATCTAGTCCCACCCTGTGCCATGAGCAGGGACACCTTCCACTAGCCCATGTTGCTCCAAGCCCTATCCAACCTGGACTTGGACACTTCCAGGGTTGGGACATCCACAGCTTCTCAGAAACCTGTTCCAGTATCTCATCATCCTCACACTAAAGAATTTTTTCCTTATATTCACTCAAAATCTACCCTCTTTTGTTTAAAACACTGTCAAGAAGTGGAGGCCTTCAGCAGGCTTTGGGTCACTCAATGGCAGTCTACACCACCAGTAAAGTGCTTGCTTTATAGTATGAGATCTGTAGCTCTGGAAAACAAAGAGGAAGATGGGGAAATGCTGATGGTGGTGCTTATGCTCCCAGTTGCTTTGATATGGGATAAGGAGAAGAAGAGTTCCCCAGACTTGGATGGGTATTTGGCTGTGATGCCTCTTGATACACCTATAAGGGAACTTATAGCATTCAGCTTGGTGACCCTCATTTCTAGGAAAGTGATGAGGTTTGCCACACTGTCCACCTGCATTTCCCCCTAAATTTCTCTCTGCTTCACCCACATTCATCAGCTGAATTGCTTTCTCTTCTGCATCTCTTTTGTGCTCATATGTAGAACTTCATGGAAATCAAATTTGCACCACAATTAGTGGTTTTTCTGCTGGAGTTTAGTGAGACTTGTTCCTATTTCCTAGGCTAGAGGGTTATTTGGAGAGGCATTCCTCATCTGCATGCCTTCTAGCTGCAGCAGTGTAAAACTCATGCATAAAACACAGCACAGGTTTCTACTGAAATGAGAACATGGATAAGAAACCTTCAATAACAATTCATCACATTAGGGATGGTAAAGAAGTGAGCAACTACATAAACTAGCTCAGACATATTAGCCCTGCCCTAGCTGGGTATGGAATTTCACAAGGCATATGTGAAAATCCATTTCTGGAGATTGTCAATGTGGTTTGGGAGTGAAAAATAGAAAAAGAAGGATTTTCAGGGTGAAAAGCAAGACCTGTCCAACCTGGTCTGGAATATTCCCAGGGATGGGGCAGTCACAACTCCTCTGCTCATGCCTCAGCATTCTCACAGAGAGAATTCCTTCCTAATATCTAATCTGCACTTTATGCTAGTGAGATTTTCTTCCTCCAGCTGTGAAAGCCTCCAGAATGCTGATCCATGAGGTTTCTGGGAGGAGACTCATGAAGTTGATCAGAGGACTGGAGCATCTCACCT